TTGAAAATGTGGCTATATGACGGCTAAGCGGTAATAATAATATCCTGGTACATCAGGTAGCGGTGAGAACAAAGATTTTGCTTATATATAAAACAGGATATAATTATTCATTAATTTTGGTGATATTGATATAACCGAATTATCTATCTAATGCATCTAATGTGTCAGATATCTTAATATATCCATTCATGACCAGTACAGTACGGTACAAAAAGTGGCCTTTCTTTAAAGATTAAAGATTAAAACTTTCCTTATCCTAAAATAATAAATAAATAAATTAATAAATAAATAAAATTTTAATGTAGATATTTACTCCTAAAATAACTTTAATAATAATGCTATAAAGATTAGAGGGTTTTCCACCTTTATAAGTACCAAGATTGATATCTTTTTGAATCAATTCAAAATTACATACACACCTGTTGGATATATTATAACAACTTTTCAGTTGTTCTCACTAACAGTTATACTGGTAACAGACCTGCATATAACGCATTCAGAATTGCAACCAAAAAAGTAAAGCAATTAAACCGTAGCCAAAATGAAATAATAAGAAGGGTAATGTGTGTAAAAGATGCATGCTAAACTTTCAAATTCATGAGAAAAAAAGATAATGATAAGAAACTAAATGTTTATAATAAAAAAAGAAAGTAATAAAAATAACCATAATTAGTGATGGGTGATGAAATTGATGAAATTTGATGAAATAAGTATTTCGTCAATTTCGTCACTATGAAAATAATTTCGTCAATTTCGTCATTGCGAAAATAATTTCATCACCCATCTATAACTATAATACGTCTTAATAGATAAGATTGATGAAAGAGATAGAATTTTTTTTAGTAATGTATTTAAAAATAATGAAATAAATAACTAACAATTGGATCAAAAATAATTTCTTAAATTTCTCTGATAAAGTAATTATAAGCGTGGAAGCTGTTTAAATAATAATTTTTTGTTAGTATCAATTCAATATGCCACGTCCAACAACCCATCAAAAAAAAGCAAAGAAGGCTTATGAAGCAAAAGCGCATAAGTATAATACCAATGCCAATAACTCTGAAGCAGAAAACTCTGATAATACTAACAATATTTCTGTTTATGATGAGGCGGTTGAGAATGATAATGCTGCAAGCATTATAAAACAACTTCAAGCAGCAGTCAAACAATATGATCATTATAGTAATAACACTGAACTAGAAGATGATGATAATGACGGCAATCTTTCTGCTTATAATGAGCCAATTGAAAATGATAATACTGAAAATATCGTAAAAAAACTTCAAGATGCAGTAAATAAATATTACCAGGAATGTGATTCTAGCCAACCTCGTAGACTTCACTATCTAGGAAACTCGGTTCGCACCAAAAGAAGAAAAAGACAGCAACAGCGTGAAGCAGCAAAAGGAACCCCTCCACTGCATACCTTTTGGAACCAAGAAAAATCTCATCAAGAAGCTGGTGAAGTAAAATCATATGATGAACAGTTGGAAGACGAAGGTCAATTGGAGGAAGTTGATGAGGAAGTCAATGAGGAAGTCAATGAGGAAGATGCTGCGAGACTTTCAGAAGATGAAATTGAGATCTGTAATTGGCGTAAAAAAATCCCAGCTGCTCTTGAAAATTTAACGTTAGATATCAAAAAAGAAAATGTAAACAGTGAAGTTTGGGTACGTCTTTGTAGTATCTGTTTTTATCTTCAGCTAATAAAAAATAACCACCAAAAAATAGAAGCAAGTAAAATAATCTCTGATGCAGCAGGAAAAGGGGTGTATCATGCTAGATGCATTCGAACTTGGGCACATGAGTATATTATGATGCGTCAGATTCCCTATTCTCGCTGAGGACACCACGCTAAAACATGGAGCTTTCTTTGGGATGAAGATATTCTTTTTCAAATAAAATCGTATATTCAGGAAAATAAGTGGGATATTACACCACGTATGATCATGTTACAAATGAATGAGGTCATCTTACCAGGGCTCGGATTTGCACCACCTCCAACCATCTCCCTTAATATTGCCAAAAATTATTTAAAAGAGCTTGGGTACATATACGAAAGAGTACAAAAAGGTGTTTACGTAGATGGACATGAGAGAGAAGATGTAGTAGCCTATCAAAATATATTTTTGAGACAAATGAGTGAACTTGAGCATAGAATGCCAGTATTTTCAGGAGATAATATGGATGTAGAAACTTGGCCAGATAGCAATATACAACCCCTTATTCTTGTTATACATGATGAATGCATTTTTTCTGCTTATGATGGAAGTCGATACCTTTGGATTTCTGATGGTGAACAACCTTTATGAAAAAAAGGTCAAGGCCGTTCAATTCATGTTAGCGAATTTTTAACTGATGTTCGTGGTTGACTTGTACTTCCTAATGAAATGCAACCGTCAGATGAGCTTCCTAGAAAAGCCTGTATTATCACATATCTTGGCAAAAATGGTGATGGGTGGTGGAAGGCTGAGGACTTGGTCAACCAGGTAGTCTATCATGTTTTATGTAAAAATTATGTTATCACTATTGTAGTAACACACAGTGTGTGATTAAGGTTAAGTAAATTAACTGTTGTGACTTCTACTGTATCATGTAAGTTGGGTCAAAATCCCGTCAAGCAAAATTCTGACAGGTCATAATCCCAACAAAAAAATCCTGACAGACAAAAATCTGACAGTTAAAAATCCTGACAATTAAAAATTCTGATAAAAAATATCATAAATCATAGCTTATCCTAGCCTAATCTTTATCTAAAGTAACCTAACCCTAAAGTTAATTAAATTATAAGAGTATACTTCGCTTTAAACATACCCATATTTTTTAATTGTCAGGATTTTAATGGTTGAAATTTTTTTGTTGAGATTATGACCTGGCAGGATTGTGCTTGTTGAGATTTTGACCAGCACCCATATCGGGTTTTACTGTAAAAAATTATGTTATCACTATTGCAATAACACAGTATGTAGTTAAGGTTGAGTTAGTACATATTGAAATTAACTGTCGTGATTTCTACAGTATCATGTTTTACTGTAAAAAAATTAAATTACAAAACTTACTGACTTTTGTTAACACACAGGTGGTCAACCATGCTATTCCCATATTTGAAGCATGCTTTTCAGGATGCCAAGCTTTGTTTGTATTTGACAATGCAACAAGCCATGTTACTTTTTCACCTGACGCACTTATTGCTAACCGTATGAACCTTAATCCTGCTGAAAAACAAAAAAAAATGCGCAATACATCTTATTTTCATGAAGGAATAAAATATGACCAGGATATGGTTTTTCCATCAGACTATCATATTTCTAAATTATGTGGAGAAGCTAAAGGATTAAGAGAAGTTTTAACGGAGAGAGGATTGTGGCCAGAAGAGGGATTAAAGTTAAAAGAAGCACGAGAATTGATGAGTCAACAACCAGACTTTTTGGCACAAAAAGGACAGTTAGAAGAAATTATTGTTGCAGCTGGGCATCAAATTGTGTTCTATCCTAAATTCCATTGCGAGCTTAATTATATCGAGAACTTCTGGGGTGCAGCCAAAAAATATAGCCGATTATACTGTGATTATTCATGAAAAGGACTGCAAAGAACTGTTCCATTAGCTCTTGATTCTGTGCCACTTCCAACTATTCGCCGATTTTTAAGGAAAGCATTTTGCTATATGGATGCATATCGAAAGGGTTTGAAGGGTAAAGCAGCTAAATATGCTGTTAAAAAATACCGTTCGCACCGCCGAATTCCTGATTCAGTTTTAAGTTTAATTGAATCTGATTAGTTATTTTTTTTTTTGCATATATAAATTTAGAATTATCTATCTCTTAGGCCAGGCCAAGTTAATTTTTTGGTTCTCATAACATAAAGCTTTTGAAAATGACCCAGTAACCCAGCTTTTAACTTTATTTTTAAAAAATTTTATATATAAAAAGCATATAAAATTTTTTAGCAAAACCTACCTGGATAGTAAATATACTTTTAAAGATTTGTAAAATTTGACTCAGCGGGTTATGAGAACCAATTTATTAAGTTGGCATAGCCTTAAAATACTTCTTTCTTCTTTTTTTTAATCTTTTTGCAATAAAATATAAGTTCTATATGTGCTTAACAACATGCAAAGCTGTAATTATCAGTAACGATATTAAACTTTATTTAAATCTGGTTTTAAATACTAAAGAATTAATTTTATGAAACTAACGCTAGTAATTAATCATACTTTTCAAAATCTTAATTAGCTATATACATGCCAAATATCCAGGTATCATACATGAAGCTAAAAGAGATCAAACTTTGAGGTGTATAAATCAATAGCCCGGATAAATGATTTGCATTTGTGTTCATTCGAATTACCATCTTTGGCATTTTTTTAAAATGCATTTTGTGATTATCTACGCAGATTTCTGATGATAATTGAATGCTTTATATTTATTCTTAATTGTTTTAATAATATATATATGAGTGTTATCAAAAGCCCGATTCCAGGTTTTCTTTTGATGGCACTCATATATGATGGCCAAATTACTTGTTTTAATCGTATATATAAAGTGGCCAAATTGCTTATTTTAATAGTATATGTAGAGCAGCCAAATTGTTTGTTTAATTATAAAATTAGTTTAACTTTTGTCTTCTACTATTTTTTAAAATATAGCTTTACAAAGTATTTAATTTAAGTAGTATTGTTATTTTGAGATGAGATTTTGTGTTTATTAATGTTTTTGAAAAAGAATTAGCAATTTGAAATTTATCAATTTTATTTGTTGGGACTAGGTTGTCCGCACTGTAGTAAAACATGACGTGGTTCTATATATAAATTACTATAGGTGTGAAAGTAGAAATTTTCTAGTAATTGTCCAAAGAAAACTTTTTTTCGTAC